GGGAACCTCTGTGTGTTGGGGACTGGGGTGGCCTCAGTTTGGCTGGGATCCTCCTCCACCGGGACCTCCTCCCTGTCCCCCCCCCCCCCAGCATCGAGATTGACCAGAAGCTGCAGGAGATCATGAAGCAGACGGGCTACCTGACCATCGGGGGCCAGGTACCACCCTGGCCCTGGCCCCCTGGGGGGTGGGCAAGACGCACCGCGGGGCTAGGCCTTGGGGTGGGGGCGGTGCCCCAGGCCTGGCCCATCCTGCAGTTCTGGCTGTCCTTACCAGCGCTACCAAGCAGAAATCAACGATCTGGAGAACCTGGGGGAAATGGGTAGCGGCACGTGTGGCCAGGTGTGGAAGATGCGCTTCCGGAAGACGGGCCATGTCATCGCCGTCAAGGTGAGCCCCGCCCCGGGTGGGCCCCCCACCCGCACCCCGAGACCCCGGCACTCCGGCACTAAGGCTCCCCTGGCCCTCCGTGCAGCAAATGCGGCGCTCTGGGAATAAGGAGGAGAACAAGCGGATCCTCATGGACCTGGACGTGGTGCTCAAGAGCCACGACTGCCCCTACATCGTGCAGTGCTTCGGCACCTTCATCACGAATGTGAGTGCGTGCCCGGCCGGCGGCCTGCACCGCTCCCCTGCCTCTCTGGGGGCTCCGCGGGGTCTCCTCCATGGCTGGAGTCCGTGGAGGGGGGAGGGGGCAGGGGCTGCAGCTGTGCCCAAGCCTCCCTGTGCTGCCCCCGCAGACCGATGTCTTCATTGCCATGGAGCTCATGGGCACGTGCGCTGAGAAGCTCAAGAAGCGGGTGCAGGGCCCCATCCCTGAGCGGATCCTGGGCAAGATGACGGTGGCGGTGAGCGGGCCGGGCAGGGGTGCAGCCGGCCGGGTCGTGTCTCCCCCCGCCCCGGGGCCCGGTCCTCCCGTCACCGGTGCCCTCCCGCTATCCTCGCTGCAGATCGTGAAGGCATTGTACTACCTGAAGGAGAAGCACGGCGTGATCCACCGTGACGTCAAGCCCTCCAACATCCTGCTGGACGAGCGGGGCCAGATCAAGCTCTGTGACTTCGGCATCAGCGGCCGTCTGGTTGATTCCAAGGCCAAGACGCGCAGCGCCGGCTGTGCCGCCTACATGGCCGTGAGTGGGAGCCGCGTGGCGCCTGGGCGGGCGGGCGTGGGGGATCGGGGCGGCGCACCCGCATCGGCCTGGGGGTACATCCTCCCCTTCTCCTGCTGGCAGCCGGAGCGCATAGACCCCCCGGACCCCACCAAGCCGGACTACGATATCCGGGCCGATGTGTGGAGCCTGGGCATCTCCTTGGTGAGTGGGGGCCCCCGCCTTTTGGGCAGCATCTCCTCAGGATCCAGAAGAAGGCGGGAAGGGAGGGGAGGAACCCGTGCTCAGCCCATCCGGCCTGGTCCTCTCTTCTAGGTGGAGCTGGCAACAGGACAGTTTCCCTACAAGAACTGCAAGACAGACTTTGAAGTCCTCACCAAAGTCCTACAGGAAGAGCCCCCACTCTTGCCCGGCCACATGGGCTTCTCAGGGGACTTTCAGTCCTTCGTCAAAGACTGGTGAGGAGCCTGCCCCCCCGCCTGGGCTCTAGGGAGGTTCGGGGCCGGACTTCTGTGGAAGCGTGGGTGGCTGTGGCGAGAGGGCAGGTGCTCCTGGCAGGGATGCAGGCAGGAGCTGGGCCCAGAGCTCTGGGCATTAGGAGTCGGGTTTGGCCCTGGCCTGAGCCTGCCCTTTGCCGCGGGAGGTTGTGCACAGCAGATATGCCCCAGTGCCAGGGGGCCTGTGCGTCCAGCCTCCGCAAGCCATTGAATTCTGCCTGCCGTCGTGTCTGCGTTTGCTTGTACCATGGGAGAGCCCCATTTACCTCTCCCACAAGCCCCTTACAATCCAGTTTGGGCTTCTGTTGCAGGCGGGATTCCCCAGTGCAGGCCTTGGGTCCTCGGGCTTTTCAGCAAGCAGCCCTGGGTCACGAGTGCACAGCAGCTCCTTCCCCGACATTCTGAAGACCCCCATCTCAGAGCCAGGACACTTGAGTCCCCAGGGCAGCCAGGCGCCTCCTTCCCCAGTTTTTATTTCTCTTTCCTTCTCCTTCAGCCTTACTAAGGATCACAGGAAGAGACCAAAGTATAATAAGCTACTTGTGAGTACTTGGGGCCCCTACCCGCTCCCTCCCACCGGGACATCCGCCCAGGGGCCCGAGCAGCCACCCCGGGGGGAGCCTCCCTCGTCCTCAGCCCCACCCCTCGGCCCACAGGAACACAGCTTCATCAAGCGCTACGAGATGCTGGAGGTAGATGTGGCGTCCTGGTTCAAGGACGTCATGGCGAAGACTGAGTCACCGAGGACTAGCGGAGTCCTGAGCCAGCACCACCTGCCCTTCTTCAGGTAGCCACGTGGTGGCGGCCAGCCCCACCGGGGGCCGGGGGCATGGCCACAGGCCCCCCTTCCGCACCTGGCCACCCAGCTGCCCACCAGGGGGACCTGGGACCTGGACAGCTGCTGAGGGCTGAGGACAGAAAGTAGGGGGTGCCAACCCACCCCCAGCCCCCTGCCCACCAGCCGTGGACAGATGGGCTCGCCAGGCCCCAGCCCTTCCCGTCCCGGGGTCAGCCGGCCTCCCGGGGTCAGCCAGCCGTGCGCGTCCCCCTGACAGACACTGTGAACGGAAGACAGCAGGCCACGAGCAGACTCGCTATTTATTCAGTCGTAACCTCTGGGCTGGGGCGGCCCCCAGGGGCCGGGAGAGCGCCGCCCGTCCCGCCCCTTCCCCCCCCAACTCGCCGTGTGCCATCCCCTCCGCCTCCTGCTTCCCTCCGCAGACCTGCTCCCTGCCTCCATCCACCCTCTCCCCCATCCCCTGTCTACCTCTCTGACTTTCCCCATCTCCCTCCCTGCCTCTGCCTCTCTCCTGGCCCATACCCGGGCTCCCCTCGCCAGCCCCCCCCCCCGGGGGACTCCTGGGTCCACCTGGGTCTCCGGCAGTGGCGAGTCCGTCAGCTGGTGTCCTCGCCCCAGGAAGGCAGGCTGGGCATTACGACTGCAGCTGGGCCTGGGCTGGTCTCTCTCTCTGTCTTTCTCTCTCTCTCTCTCTCTCTCTCTCTCTCTTTGATCTCAGGGGGTCCTTTTTGGAGTTTATTGTATTTTATTGTACTTGGTGGGGTGTTTGGGGTGGGGGGGGCAAAGAGCTTGTTCTCACGGGGTTTGTCGGTACCTTCAGAAACTTTTACCAAAGTCATGTTTAGCTGCTTGTGGTGGAGCCCCCCGACCGCCTGTGGGTACAGGCGTCTGGGGCCGGGGGGCGGGGCCGAGCCCCAAGGTGGGCTCTGGGGGCTCCTCCTCCCTCGGGGTCAGCCCTCGGGGCTGGAGACTGGCCACAGCTCGGGGGGGGGGTGAGTTGAGGACCTCAGGGGGCGTGGAGGGAGCCCGAGGGGCCGCGGCCACACAGGGTGGCCTTCAGGGAAGGCGGGTGCAGGGCACGGTGAGGGCAGCAGATGCTGCTGCGGCAGGGAGGTGGTGAAGGGGGTCAGTGGCAGGAGCGGGGCCCCGGGGCCCCGGGGAGGCAGGGGTCGAGGGTGCAAGGGGCGGGTGTGGGGGTTCGAGGACGTGTGACAGGACAGAGGTGGAGCTGGCTGAGGGCTGGGCGTGTGTAGGCAGTCACGCCCTTGGAGTGCCCCTGAGCGCCCCTCGACTCCCCCAGAGCTGGCCAGTCCGCCCCCCCCCCCCCCCCCCCGCCGCCCTCTGCAGCAGCCGGACTGGGAGGGGGTGTGTTTCCTTTTTGTTGGTGATGCATGCAAATTAAGTGGACAACAAAACAAAACAAAAAAACAAAAACAGAAACCCACAGAACCACAAAACCAACCAACACCAAAGGTGAGGAACTTGGCCGGACGGAGCGGACGCAGTCTAGGCCTAGGCATCACTGTATCCTGTCTGTCTTGTGGACTCTCGTTCTGCGCCAGACTCACAAAACGCCGCATGTTCAAAAGTCCTCGAGTTCTCTGCTCTGTGTCCCCTGCCCGGGAGGGAAACGGCCACCTTCTCTTGCCCCGGTCCCCTTTGTGAGGGGATGGGGGCAGGGTGGGGGGCCCATAGGCCTGGTCCCCCACCCTCCCTCACCTGGCCCAGCCAAGGAGGGGAGGGGAGGCGAGGCCTTTGTGGGTAGCTGGAAGGTTCCGTGGCTGGGCCCAGGGCCAGTGGAGGCCCTGGGCCAGCCACCTGGATTTATTTTTATTTAACTACTTTCTGTTTTGTGAGTGCGTCTGCCCGCCCCCGCCCCCCTTCTGCGTGAAGTGGGGGGGTTCTGGGGGAACCTCTTCTCTGCCTCTTTCCTCTGCTCTCCCTCCGTCGCCAGTCACCAGCCATCCTTCTCGACCAGGCAGAGGGGGGAGCAGGTGGGCGGGCGGGCAGGGGCCTGGGGTGGCCTGGCCCAGGCCGCCGGCCCACGACCCCTTCCCCGGTCGCCAGTATTCCCCCAGCCCTTTTTAAAAACGAAATGCCCCCGTTTGTAAATCCTTAGACGCTTGAGAATAAAACCCCTCCCTTTTCTTCCACGGAGTCTGTGGTGTGTCTTGAGCTTGGCAGACCAGGGCAGCAAGAGGTGGGAAAGGGCTGTGAGGCCTGACCTTTGGGGGGCGGGGGGAGCCGTGCCATTCCAGGGGATGGGGCCTCTGCACCGGGGGGGGGGGGGGGGGGGGGACTGAAGCCCAGCCGGGCCCGGAAGGGTGGTATTTGTAGTGAGTTGCTGCATATCAAGCGACCAGTGTTGCCAGACCTCCCTCCCCACCACCCCACCAGCCACAGGTTGGCCAGAGAGGAGCCCTTAATCCCTGGCAGACCTTGGGCGCTGGCTCTGATGCACACCCCTCAGTCCACCGCCCCCGCCTCCTGGGGTGGCTGCTCAGCCAAGGACAGGGCTGCCTGCCCACCTGCCGGGCCTGGGTGCCATCCGGCGGGTGGCTGCACTCCTGGGGCACACTTCGGCGCCGGTCCAGCATGCTGGGTGCCACGCTCCTGCTGCTGGCCCTGCTCCCCGGGGCCGCCACCTTGCCCAGCGGACCGCCTGGTACGTAGAGGCTGGGGACACGGCCCATCAGGCTGCCATCCCCGTGTTGCCCTTTCTTGGCTCCACCGCCCCTATGCCCTGCCTGGGGGAACGGGGGGTGGGGGGGCAGGTGGGCTCTGCCTCTGTCTCCCGTCTCCAGATCCTTCTCCTGGACCCCCAACTTCTTCAGAGGCCCCAGCAGGTACACTGAGGCCAGTGACCATGGGAGAGCGGTGTACCGATGCTTTTAGGAAACGTGTGGGGACCGTCCTGAGAACATTATTTGACAAGGATCCCAGCGGAGTGCCTCCCTCGGGCAGAGGGGGTGTGGGTGCGTGTGGGTCCCCACCCTGTGTTGCTGCTGCGCTCGGTCTGGGAGCGAGGAGCCTGGACAAACGGAGAGGCGGGAGACCCTGGTGGCCCGGCTGGGCTCCAGCTGTGCCAGAGGGGCAGAGACGGCGCCTTCCTTCTCCCCTTCCCCATTGGTCACGGTAACCTTGGAAAGGAAAGGGGGGAGCAGCACCCTCCCCCAAGCGGGCGCTGGGCCCCTTGGGTAGCTGACCTCACCCAGCCGGGCCGCCTTCCCCGCCGCGCCCCGGGTCAGGCACCCTTCAACCCTGCCCCGCCAGGGAGTCCCAGGTCTGCTGTGGGGGGGAGAGATCCAGGTCTGGAAAGGGGGGCTCCTCCCCAGAGGCGCGCAGCTTAGCTCCCAGCCTCGGCTGCTGGGCTGTGGCGGCCCCCGGACCTTCAGGGGACGTACCATGCCTACTCTGCCAGCAGTGAAGCCGGCGCGGAGCCCAGCACCGAGCACCCGGGAATCCCTCACCGCAACAGCACCCTTTTTCCAAAGGAGGCGGGAAGGTTGCTCCGCTGGCCTGGAGGGGCTAAGGGGCAGCGCGACCTGCTTCGTGTCACCCTTTCTCCCCGCCAGCGCCCCCATTCCCCGCGGCGCCCGGGCCCTGGCTGCGCCGACCCCTTTTCAGTCTGGAGCTGTCGGACGCGGAGGACGCCTTCCCGCGCCGCGCGGGGCCGCTCGAGGTCCCGGCCGACAGCCGCGTGTTCGTGCAGGTGTGGAGGCGGGGCGCGCCGGGGCCAAGGCGGGCCGGGTGGGGGGCGGCCGTGGCTGATCGCGCCCCCGCCCCCTAGGCGGCCCTGGCCCATCCGTCTCCGCGCTGGGGCCTGGTCCTGCACCGCTGCTCGGTGACACCGTCCTCGCGCCCGGCCCCGGGGCCCGCCCTGGAGCTGCTGCGCGGGGGCTGCCCCGCCGACTCCTCGGTCGTCCTCCCACCGCCGCCGCCGCCGCGCCCGGGTGCTGCCGGGCCCGCGCGCTTCAGCTTCCGCCTGCGCCCGGTCTTCAACGCCTCGGTGCAGTTCCTGCACTGCCAGCTGAGCCGCTGCCGCCGCCTCCGGGGAGCCCGCCGGACACCTACGCCTCTGACGCTGCCACCGCCATCGCTGGTGCGCGAGCGCACGGCCGGGAATCTGGGCGCCTGGGCCAGTCGCGGGGAGGGGGGGGCCTGGACACAGGCCCCCCCCCCCTCGGGCTCTGAAGGAAGAGCCCCTTGGAGCTTGGGGATCTCGGGGGTCCGACGCTTTGGAGGCTGGAGACGGGGGTCCCTCGGAGCTGGGGAGAGTCGCTGGGTCTCGGGCTGGTGGCTGGGCTCAGGGACGGAGAGGGAGGCCCGTGAGGCTCTGCCTAGGGGTTCCCCAAGGGGACAGGGAATGGACACCGGGCTTGCTCTGGGATGCCTTGGGCGGAACTCAGAGGTCCCTCCAGGGCTGGGTGGCTGGATGCAGAGGCGGCCAAGGGGCCGGTCGGGTATCTAAGGTTCTCAGAGAACTGGGTCGTGTGACCTTGAGGGGCTGCAATTTGGAGTCCTCACAGGCTGGGTGGCTGGCTGCTTGTACATCTTAGGGGCTGGGCTCGCGGACCTCTCGGGGGTCGGATTTCCAGGAGTTCACTGGTGCGACTCCTGGTCGCAATAGAGAGCTGGACACGTAGACCTCTAGGGAGCCCCGGGGACAGGTCCCTGAATCCTGGGGCCTGACTGCCCATCTCTTGCCTCCTCCTCCCCCCAGTGTCTGCCTCAGGATGAGGCGTGCGCGGGCGCCGGCAGCGACGAGAGCCTGGGTGCCGACAGCGCCCACCTGCACACGCTGACGCAGCCCATCGTGGTCACAGTGCCGCGGCCACCCCCCAGTGAGCGCGCAGTTCTCCGCAGGGGTCGGGGAACGGGGGGTGGGGAGGACATCTGGGGCCCGGGCCCAGTCCCTGTGTCGTACTTCCCACAGGGCCATCCAAGGGCGTCCCCGGCAGAGCCGTGCGCCCCGAGCCTCCCGACCCGGCCCCGGCGGCCCTGGAGCCTGCGCCCGTGGTGGCGCTGGTGTTGGCTGCCTTCGTGCTGGGCGCCGCGCTGGCCGCCGGGCTCGGCCTCGTCTGTGCGCATTCAGGTACCAAGCTCCGCCCGCTGGGACTTCCGCCCGGCCCCCAGCCTATCCCCGCGGGTCGGGACCCCGGGTCGCCGCGACCCAGCCAGTGGAGCCCCGACCATCCCCAGACCTGCCTGCGCTACGCCCGCGGCAGCCCCCAGGGGGCGCCCTTGCCCCGGCCCAGTGCGCAGCAACCCCTAGTGCTCCGCAGCCTGCCTCTCCTTTCCAGCGCCCCCAACCCCCGGTCCGGCCCCGAGGGACTCGCCCAGCGGCCCCCAGCCCAGGAGGCCCCAGTGAGGCAGGTAAACGGGGGGGTGAGGAGGGGAAAGGGTTGTAACGTGGAGCCGGTAGGACAGCTGAAAGAGGGAGGTGATGATAATGGCGTTTTAGGCTTTCCCTGTGCCGGGGAGTGTTCGGAAGGTTTCGTGCCTATTAATTAATGTAATTCTCATAACAACGTTCAGGTAGATATTATTATAATCCCCACATTAGAAATGAGACACATGAGGCACTCTCTGAAGTAACTTGTCAAAGGCCACAAAATTTGGTGGAGCTGGAATTCAAACTCGGGCACTGGGTCACCCGTGGCCAACTTCGGGCTCTGTGTCACAAGAGGGGTCCTCAAACCTCGGACAGACACTAGACGAAGAGAATTCGCGACTCAGACCTAGCACCCACCCTCAATCCCGCACACAGACTGACGGAGGAGGCCAATGATCCGCTGGGAAGGGGGTGGCCTGTGTTGTGTCCTTTCCTTCGCTCAGCCCGGGTAGCCCCTCCGCAGGGATGGCGCACCCCCAGCAAGGTCCCGAGACACACCAGCCACGGCCTCGAACCAGGCCCGCCAGGACTGCACCGGCCGCGGCCGACCTCGGACCCGACGGGACCACTGTCTCTGCTCCGAACCCTCCCGCCCCCGCTGCGCTCCTCCACGCACCCTCCCACCTGGGCTCAAAATAAACATCTGATCTGGCCTGCCGAGTTCTGAAGTCTGCGTGTGAGCCTGGCGCGGGTATAGGGGGCAGGAAGCAGAGGCCTTGGATCAGGACTTGGGGGCCGGGCTCACACGCCCATGTATACGTGTGCAGATGGAGGCCAGAGGAGACCCAAGGGAGTTTTTCCCAAACAGGAAGGGACACCCAACCCCACGTGCTTAAGTTTTAATAAGCTCCGCCTCCTTCCTCAAGCCCTGCACCTGCCCTCCTGCCTCCGGCGGTCTTCCCAAAGCCAGGCTTTATCCGCTCTCCACCCCCACCCTGGATGGAGCCTGCCCTCGCTAAAGGCCTTGACCTCTGGTCTCTGCTCCAGCGCCCTCTGTCTAGTCTAGAGCTCTTAACTGTCTCCTGTCCGAGTTCCTCCCTTCCCTCCAGCGGGACTACTAGCTCCATTTCACAAATGAGGAAACTGAGGCTCGGCTCGGCCATGTCACTTGCTCTAGGTCCTCAGGGCTGGCCAACCCCACAGCCCGGGTTCTTGGCTACCACTGAACAGCTGCCTTCTTGCCAGGGTCCACCCCTTTTGGAGAAACAAAGCACACAGTAGGAGTTTCCCAAGACTCAGTCCCGGAATGGAGGGAGGGCAGGAGATGTAAGGTCTCGGCTCCAGTTCACGGAGGAGATAAAATGCAGGCAGGTGGGGTGTCTCATGCGCTCCCACCTCCGTTCGCATGCCCATCTCTCCATTTTCTCCCATCTAAACGGTTCTCTTCGGCCGCAAACGCGGAGCCACGCCCCCATCTGTTTCTGCCTCCGCGCGGTGCTTTCTGACCCCAGCGGCCTCCGTAACCCCGCCTACCAGGGAAACGGGCCCGGAACGCCGACACCGCCCTCGCCGGCATGAAGCCTCCGCAGCGGCGGCGAGCGGCGCCGGCGCGCTACCTGGGTGAGGTGACCGGCCCCGCGGCCTGGAGCGCCCGCGAGAAGCGGCAGCTGCTGCGACTACTGCAGGCGCGGCAGGGCCAGCCGGAGCCGGACGCCGCTGAGCTGGCCCGGGAGCTGCCGGGCCGCAGCGAGGCGGAGGTGAGGGGGTCCTGGCAAGGGAGCGGGGCTGGAGGCCCGGCTAGGATGTGGGCGGGGCCGACTTGCGGCTGAGGGGCGGGGAGGCGGGGCGAGCGTGGGGTGGGGGCGGGGGGACTTGGAAGGGAGGCCGGGGTGGGCGGGGCATACATGAGGCTGAGGGGCGGGGCGAGGTGGAGGCCGCGCGTGCGAGAGGCTGAGGGATCGGTCGGACTCCGAATTAGACGGAGTGGAGGCCCGAGTCAGGGCGGAAAGGGCAGTGAAGCTGAAGTGAGAGCCAGGAAGCGGGGCCAAGTGGGTGAAGCGGGGCGCTGAACAGGGTAGTAACTTTGCAGAGGGTGGGCCCTGGCTGCGGGGAGGAAGCAGAACCGGCCTTATACCTTTATGGGGTGGCTGGTCACACCTGGGGCCTGGGCCCGAGCCCCGGGGCAGAGTCACTGAGACCTGTAACCCTGGGGTAGCGGGAGGCTAGGGAGCAGTGCCGGTGCTGGAGCAGGCAGTAGGCTTTGGCCCCTCTCCCCAACCCTGGGCGTGTAGAAGGCCCATTCGGCCTCCTCCTCTTCTCCAGATCCGGGACTTCCTGCGGCAGCTCAAGGGCCGCGTGGTCCGGGAGGCCATTCAGAGGGTGCATCCCGGTGGCCCGCAGGGTCCGAGGCGCCGGGAAACACAGACCCCGGCCCCCATCGAGGTGAGGCAGGACAAGGCCCGCCAAGACCGGGCCCTGGGGCATGGTGTGGGTGTTGGGGGGGCATAACCTGGTCAGGGGAATCCCCAGGAGGGGCAGGGCTTGGAGACCCTCGAGGGTTGGTCCCTAGGCTGACCGTGTGCCTTCTGGTCGCCCCATCTAGGTATGGATGGATCTGGCTGAGAAGATAACAGGCCCGCTGGAGGAGGCCCTGACTGTGGCTTTCTCACAGGTACAGCCGTCCCGCAGGCAGGATGGGGGTGTTATGTATAAGTCTAAATTAGGGGGACTTGGCTCCGGGGCCCTTCCTCTTGCCAGCTCTGTGACGCCGGCCAGTCACCGAACACTCTGAGCCTCAGTGACCCTGCTTCCGACAGCTCCCGTGTGTTACGTCTAACAGGGTGGATTTGGTGAGCCGGTGGAGGTGGAGAGCTCAGCCAGGTGCAGGGCAGCAGAGAGGCCGATGGGAGGACTTCCCCCTTTTCTTCCCTGATCTCTCTTCCTGCCAGGTACTCACCATCGCGGCCACCGAGCCCGTCAGCCTCCTGCACTCCAAGCCCCCCAAGCCCACACAGGCGCGTGGGAAGCTACTGCTGCTCAGTGCCCCCGGAGGGCGGGAGGACTCCAGCCCGGACACCGCGGGCCCCGCCCCTAAGGCGAATGGCCCCGCCCCCGAGGCACCTTCTGCATCCCTGGCTGAGCCCTCGGTGGAAGGGGACTTCTCCGTGGACTTTGAGAAGATCTACAAGTATCTGTCGTCCGTCTCCCGCAGCTGCCATGGCCCTGAGCTTTCTGCAGCTGGTGAGAATAACGGGCAGGGGCTGGGAGGGAGTGAGCCCCGGGCAGCAAGGCCCGCCCTGCCCTCACCCCACACCTCTGTGTCCATCACCAGAGGCAGCGGTGGTCCTCGACCTGCTCTTGGCACTTCCCGAGGAGCTCCTCCGCCTGCCCTGCAATGCCCTGGTTAAACACATGTCGGATATGTACGTGCACCTGACAGGCCCTCAGCCGGACCCAGCCATGGAGGGCCTGGCGCCCGGAGCTGAGGATGCCGGGACAAGCTCCCCGGGGCGAGAGGAGGCCAGCCAGGCCGTGCCCCTGGCTCCGGAGAATGCCGGGCCCAGTGAACCAAGGTCTGCTTGGCAAGCAGCTGGGGTCTGCCCCCTGAACCCATTCCTGGTGCCCCTGGAATTTCTGGGCCAGGCAGCCAGCCCTGCGAGGTGAAGGCCTGGCAGGTGGAAGACACACCAGACATTTGTGAGCCCCCTGGCCCTCAGTCCTGCCCGGGCTGGTCCTGGGTTGTCAGGAGGACCCAGCCACGGTGGAAGGTCCCTGACATGGTGGGCAGCAGGGGGTGGCCTTGAAGAGGACCGACACGGTAGGGGTCTCTGAAACAGAAGCACAGTTGCACAGGGGTTTGGCCATGGAACTGAGGTGGGGGCAGCCAGTCCCCCTCCCCCCAGCTCCTGTCCCTTCCAACATTCTGTATCCTATGTCCTGTGAGTAAAGTTCTTGCCAATCTGTCTTGCTCCCTTTTTCCTGTGAGTTAAAGGCGGGAGTGGAGGCTCAAAGTGCCAGAAGGAGAAGTCAGAGGTAGGAGTGCTGGAGCTTGGGGTCCCAGGCCTGAAGGGGGGGCATGTGGGGGGGAAGGCATAGTCATTAGTAAAGGCTGCCGCTGCCGCCAGGTCTGGTTCAGTGCCACCTGGAGTGACCTTGGTCTGGCCGTGAAGGGGACCCTCAGTGACTGTGTGGAGGATGAGGCCTGAGCCTGACAGATGTTGAGTGCAGGGTTTTCAGCGCAGGTGACCTCCTCTCACACAGATGAAGAGAAGAGAAGCCAGCAGAGGGTAGCCAGGTGGGAGGAGCCAGGCCCCAGGTACAGGTCAAGGGTAAGGGGGAGCAAGTCATCCCCCCCACCCCCCAGCAAAGCAAGGAAGAGCAGGGACGGAGGAGCTGAGCTGGGTAGAGGAAGGGTCCTGGCTGCTGCCAAAGGCCCCGAATTCCCAGGAGTGTGGCGGGGTGTCCCTGCAAGGGGTCCCCCTTCATCAGCCTGCCTGAGGGTGTAGATTCAGGGGGAGGCTGGGGAGGGCACGGCAGGGGAGCCAGGTATCCTCCCACAGCCCCCCCCCCCCAGCCTAACTAGTCCTTTGAGAGCCGGTAGATGTGTTCGCAGAGCCCGTGCATTCACACAGCCTTCCTTTTATAGAAGCGCCTGCTTTTCCCCACATACTGCACACGGCTCCCCGGGGTACAAACAGGCTCCTGGGCGGGGGCTGTGGAGCAGAGCCAGCCCAGTCCGTGCTGCCCGTCCCCCGGCTTCCAAAGTGCGTGTGTGGATGGTGGGCAGGAGGAACCAGGCTGAGAGGTTTGGGGGAGCAGATGTGGTCAGTGCCAGGAGATCATGCCATGTCTTGGTGGCACCCTCCAGGGCTGGCTGAGCGGGCCCCCCCCACCCCCCTCCAGCCCCACTTAGTCCCGTTATTCCACAGCCTCCAGTCTCCCCAGGTTAAGGGAAAGAAGTGGGGGGTGGACCTTGGCGATGCGCAGAGCTAGTTCACCCGTCAGTCCCCCAGAATGCGGCCTGCATGTTTTGGCAGCATGGGGCAGCCATTAAGAGCATGTGGAAGTCAGGCCTGGGTTCAAATCCCAGCCAGGCTGGAATCCCGCCACTCAGTACAGTACAGGCTAGTCCCTCAGGCTGCCTGGGCCTCCATCCCCTGGGCTGTCGAACAGCGATGCTAAGAGGGCTCACTCTGGGTTCCGCAGAGGGGACAGGTCATGCGCAGCATGCGCTAACTCACGCGCCGCCTGGCATGTAGTAAGCGCTCAGTAATAGCTTTTATTGACACCATCGGCTCAGAGGCAGGGAGGAGGGGGAAGGCATGGGGAAGGCCGCGGCGGCGGGATGCGAGAAGGGGGCAGGGGGAAGCGGCAGGAGGGCCAGGGAGGGGCGCTGACCTGTACTGGGGAGAACCTGCCCGCACTCTTGCTCCCACCGAAAGCGCCGCGCGTCCTGGACACAACAGCCATTGGTGCTCTCCAGGCTCGGTCTCCGGGGCAGGCCGCGCAGGGCATATGGGTATGCAGCGTCCACCCCACGGGCGCAGGGGAGCCTGCCCCGCAGGAGCAGCTCAACACTAAGGGGGGATCGGGGGCGGGGGCGGAGTGAGGATGGCCAGACCACAGGGGAGGGAGGGGGGACACGGGGGTCCCCCGCATCCAGGAATGGACAGGACACTCATGCTCGGCGGCAGGACAATAGCAGAGCCACCTCTACGCCTTGGGGTGGGGGTGGGGGTCCTCTTCCCAGTCGGGGGCCAGCCGAGCCGGCGAGTTACGGAGCGAGGACGGGGCGGGATAAAGGCACGAAGTGGGGCTCCGGCCAGGCCGGGAGGAAAGATGGGAGGGGTCTGAGGGGGAGGGGCCGGACCTCTAACGGCCTCCTTCCTCGGGCTAGGCGCTGGGGCGGAGGTCCTGAGCGCGATCCCTGCCAGGCGGCGCCCCCGTCGGGTCGGCCCCTCGGAGAGCGGCCGGGCACCGCTCAGACCAGCGCGTAGTCGAACTGCCCACGCTCGAGCGCCTCCTTGTGGTCGGTCCAGGACGAGGCGGGCATGCGGCTGTAGGGGTCGAGCAGGATGCGCACGCAGCGCACCATCAGCAGCACCAGCACCACGAGCAGGCAGAGCACGAAGGCGAACACCGTGCGCTGCTCCGCGTCCAGGCCCGCGCCCACCGGGGGCCCCGTCGACGGCGGCAGCGGCTCGGGGGACAGCGTCCACGTCGCGCTCATGGCTCACATCGCCGCGCGCCCTGCGGAGGAAGGGCCGGCCGGGGGCGGCGGGATGAGGCTGCCCCTTCCCGCCCCTGCGCCGCCCCCTCCCGCCACCGCCCCCTGACCTTGCCCGGATACAGCCCCCGCCCGCGCCTCTGTCTCCCGGCTACGCCCAAGCCCGGCTCGCGGGGACCCAACTCCGGCCGTGCGTGCAGGTGGGGGCGCTGAGAGTGGGGAGAGGGAGCCCGGACCCGGCCGGCCCGCGCACAACAGGTGCGAACGCGCAGCCCGGGCGGCGCAGCGGTGAAACCCTGTCCCCCGCCCCGCTCCCTTTGTTCTCGGCGTCCCGGGGACTCCTCCCCCACCACCCCCACCCCGCCGCGCCCCTCACCCTGGCCTCGACCGGGACGGGGACCGAGCTCCCGGTGACTGCGCTCTGCTCCGGGACCCGCGCCGGCTCCGCTCTCGGCCTCTCCCCGGTGGTAGCGGTGGCGGCGGCGGCTGGCGGCGACGGCGGCGGCCCGGGCTCAGCCCACCCCACCCGCCCCTGGAGCGCTGGAGACCGAGGCAGGCGAGCCGCGCGCTAGCCGGGCCGCCGCGGCTGTTCCCATGGCGACGGGGGCGGGGCCGCCGCGGGGGGCGGAGGCTGCGCAGGGAGCGGTGCGCGGGCTCGCGACCCCGCCCCGGCCTCGGGGAGGACGGAGCTCCCACGCGGAGGCGCCTGGGAGACCGCGGCCACGGGGAGCCTCAGCACCGAGGACCTCGCCCACCCCACCAGCACCCCAGCCCGACTTCCGCACCTTCCCCCCATTCTCTGCGATAGACCCCTCGACCAGACGTCCTGCGCGGGCGGATCCCAATGCCTCCAAAAATCACTCGTATTGGCGCTCAAGCTCCTCCAGCTCTAGGAACCCCAACCCTCCGAGACCCCAGCCAGGCTATTGAAAGCTCCCTAGCTCTTGTCTCGGTCCCCGCCCTCCCCCCCCCGCCCCCCTGTCCCGCCCCGCCCAAGGGCGGGCAGGGTCCTGACCAGGCAAGACTGCCCCCTCCAGGGCTTCAGTTCCTTCAGTGACCTTGACCACTTCCCTGTGACCTCCTGGTCAGCTCCCACCCCACCCTAGTGACAGACACCTCGGACCACCCAAGTTGCTCTCCTGCACTTTGGTGATTTATTATTTCCAAATCTCAGGCATATATACAGGGGTAATAAGGGCACTGTTAAAATAAAAAACAGAGCCAAAATGGCCTGGCTGAAGTGGCCAGTGGGTCACTCTGAGTGGCAGGGGCCTGGGCCCTGTCCTCCTGCCTCCAGAGAGTCCCTGGGTAGGGGCCCGCTGGCCCCATCTGGTCTGTGCACCGCAGTGACCTCGCTCAGCTCCCCGAGGGGCCGAGGGGCAGCGTAGGGGCTGGCACTGTGGGGAGAAGCCCCCAGCAGCTGCCCGCCCTTCCCCATGCCGCCCTGGAAGAGAACCGACAGTCCTGTCCCCAGAGGTCGAGCTGCTGCAGGCAGACACCAGTCCTCTGGGTGTCCATCGCGTGCTGATCCAGCCCAGGAGCCCCCGGCCGTGGCCACCGTGCTCAGAGGACCTGCTCTGTGCTGGAGGCGGAGATGTCCAGAAGCCGCCAGGCTGCATAGGGGTTGAGCTCATCCTGGTCTCGGCAGAGCGCCCACACGTACAGCATGCGCAGCACCTTGTCCTGCCGAGGTGGGGAAGGTGAGGGCTGGGGACAGGGGGCTGTCGAGAGGAGCAGGGCAGAACACAGAGGGGACGCCAGGAGGGACCAGGGAGTGGGGCCGGGGGTGTCAGCCTGGCTCTGGGCTCCAGAGGCTGCAACTCAGGACTTAGCCCAACCAGACAGGTCAGTCACCCTCTGACCTCCACCAGGCCCGACTGGGACCCTAGACTTCTGGAGGCCCCGCCCTGCTGTTTCTGCACAGTCACAAAACCTCCTGGCTCCAAAGTGCAAGGCAGCTGAAGATGGCCACCCGCCCGTGCTGCTCCATTTCCTCCCGCACTCACCGGGTCACCCTCGACCACCTCGCCTTTGGGGTTCTTGATCACCATCACCAGCTGGGCCTGGAAGGTGATGATCAGCACAGGCCCCTGCTCCATCATCTTGCCCATGGCCAGCTGCAGGGGGGGAGGAGGGAGGGGGCTCAGAGAGTGGCCACACCCCTTCCCTGCTGCTCCCCTTCCTTGCTGCTCCCCTTTGGTGCAGCTCCCCGCTTCCCAGGGAGCGGCCCCAGCACTCCCCTCGTGCCCCTTGTCGGGCCAGGTCCCGGAAGGAGGCTGAGGAGTCCAGTCCTCCGTTTCCAGGTGGGAGAGTCCCATGAGACCCTTCCCAATGTGAGCCATTGTCTGAACTGCTAAGAACCCATGCAGCCTCCCCAGACCTGGGCTGGGCGGCCACATCAAGGCCCCGCAAAGGGGCCAGTCATGCACACAGGCAGGGGTAGAGGGAAGCACGCGCTGGCGTGTCTCCAGTTCCCCATAGGGACTGTCGGAGCCTGAGCAGTCCTGACAAAGCGCCCCCCTTCCCAGTAAAGGCGCAGGGACAATACTGCCTTTGGGGGCCCCGAGGGTCTGGGCAGCAGCACCCCTGCGTCTGCCACCTGCCTAAGAATTCTCCCACCACGGGCTTCTGCTGAAAGGGCCCTGGAGGTCCCTTAGCCCAAGCACCTGCCCATGTCAGGGCTCCTGCAGGGACGGGGTGCCCCTGTGACGAGCACACCCCCCGGGAGAGATACTCACATCAACGCTGTCGATATCCAAGATGCGGGAGTGGAACTGTAGGCCCAGGGCCTTGGCCTGCTGGATCGGGTGAGCCAGCTGGCTGTAGGTCTGCAATAAGAAGCCACACGCCTGGGGCCACACGCACGCACGCCTGGGGCCACATGCACGCACACATGCACGCCTGGGGCCGCATGCACACACACGTGCCTGAGACCGCACGCACGCAGGCCGGAACGCAAGCCCCGCCCAGGCACCGCACCACCAAGGCTGGCGCACCGCGGGGCCGGGCACACAGTCCTGGGAGGCTCTCCCTGCAGGCCGGCTTGCCAGCCGAGCTCCGAGCTTTCAGCCCTCGTACCGTCCAGAAACAGCTCCTGGCGCCGGGGTGTGCTATGCCAGGAGTGGCAGATGCCAGGAGCACGGGTCCAAGCAGGCGGGCTGGTGCCACCCGTTTGCTCGCCTGAATCACACACCCCTCCCTCGTTATACAGGTAGCACTGCATCAAGACTACGGACTGAAAGTGGTATCATCGGGAGAGTTGGTAATTCTCTTGCCACAAGATCTGAAATACACCCCCAGGGGTAAGTTGAGGCCTCTCTGGCTGATCTTGGACTTGCCCATATTCACCGCACTCTGAATCTTGGCCTGGAATCAAACGCGTTTTCTAGGATTTGCCCTAATCCATGGCTGCTCTGAAGTGAGCTGCCTGGGGTGCCTCCTCCTCGCTGACCAGCTGCTTCAGGAAGCTGCTGCCTGCAGGCAGCCCGTTCTTCCGAAGGGGCAGCGCACCCCGCGTAACACCCCTCACCCTCCTCAGCCTGCTCCCAGGCCCAGGACATGTGCAGCCTTGTAGCTTTCCTCCAGAAGCTTCTCTGGACTCAGCAACTATGATGGAAGACATTCCAATCACAACTACTTTTTATGGAAATAACTGATCTACCAAGAAAACAAATGCTGCCGCTCCCATTTCTGGTGTGATTCTTAAAAAATGACATTTAAAAACACCTCTGTGTGAGCACCTGCAACTTCAAGTGCATTTCCAGGGGCACCAGCAGTTCTCTGGCAAAGATAATCAACCACATCCTAATGGTCCCAAAGTATTAAAAAAAAAAAAAACCACCACCACCACTCACAAATGCCTGTTGGATTAGTCACCATGCAGAGGAGTATTTAAAAAAAAAATCCGACATCTTCTCCTCTGCTTTCTCCAAGTTGTTTGTGAGCTAGAAGCAGAACAGAGTCAGCCAAAAAAGGCTTTGGATTGCTTAATACAAATAAGCTTGGAAAAAGAAAAAAAAAAAAAAAAAACCCCACGAAGACACAGTCAGGGAGTGAGCGGGTGAGACGCGGTGGCCGGCCAGAGCCCTGCAGGCACGGGGAGGCTGCCAGGCTCTGAGGAAGACAGGGTGTGCTCCTGAGGGGTGCTGACCCGTCATCCATAGCCCGGCGCCATGCAGCCCGGGGACCCTGAGCCCCGACTCCGGGGAGCAGTCAGGCCTCATCAGGACACGGCTCCTCCCCATGCGGGAAATCTATCACCATCTGTTTTGATCTGTGTTTCGGGAACTCAAAGTGAGGACAGCTAATGAGTCCAGCCAGTGCTTTGTGTCCTGCAAATGCTGCCTGTGTTCGCACTGTACCCTTATGATGCCTGTGACATGGGCGTGATGATGGACTCTGGCCCAGACAAGGGAAGGTCACACACATCCCTCTCTGCCCAGCTCCAGCCCCTGGGGTCCCCCCACAATCAGGACACCAGACCCCGTCATGCCCTTCTCAGACCGTGCTGCCCAAGCAGATCTCCAAGCTGTGATTCTTTTTAGGCCTAACTAGAAAAAATAAAAAGAAAGAAGTACTCACAGCTTCATAGCACCAATCTTTGAGAATGTCGAGCTCTCCAGAAATCATGGCCTAAAAAGGGGAAAACAAAAAAAATTAGCTCAAGATTAAGAGGGGACGATCTAGGCAGGAGGCCCTCCCCAGCAGGCTCTACCTGGGGAGCAGGGGGCCGTGAATTGGGCTGCAGCAATGGGTGCCCCTCCTCAGGCCCTGGGGACCAAGGGCCTGTGTGTGTGACCCCCGGCAGCCCAGGGTGGTCCCAAGGGCCTTGTGGGAGGAGGCAGAGGAGGGTGGCAGCGTGGTGGGCTCACCCTGGCCAGGAAACTGAGCCAGGGAGGCCAGGAGCTGCATTCTCCCTCTACTGGGGATGGAGCTTTGCACAGCTGGGTCCACAAAGGCACAGAGGAGGGGTCCCGGGGGTGGCCTCCCCAGGTGCCATGGGGGAGACCTCTGTAGGAACTCGGAGGCAGGGCCAAACCTGCTCAAGGTGACGGAGGAGCTGAGGGCCCGAGGGAAAGCACAAGCAGGCTGGGGGCTGAGACAGCCTCACCCCAGAAGAAACTGCCTGTGCTCGGACTGCTGCTTTTGGGGATCACTCCATGTCTACCTCCTCCCGCCCTGCCCAAAGTGGCATGAGGGACCTGGGAAATCGGAAGGGAGGGGACCCCATGAAGGTCACTGGGATGGAGGAGGCAGGAGGAGGGGACAGGAACCCAATGGGGCTTGCAGGGCCTTTCTGTGGTCTCATTAGGACTTTTCCTAGGCTCCGGCCACATCTTGGGGGCTCAAGGAGCAGATGTGGTGGAGGAAAAGGCAGCCGACCTCGGGCAGGGGCCTTGTGGAAGGCTGGTTGCAGCGGGACCTTGAGCAAGCCGCTCCCTCTTCGTTTCCGAGCCAGGAAGGGGATAGAAGATGGGATTCAGGATTCCCATAGAGAGGACACCTTGGAGGAGAGCCCCCGTAGGGTCTTCCTCATGGCTTGCCCCACGGGCTACAGCTTCCCCCACTCCTGAAAGGCCCCGGGCA